TACTTTTGTTTTATGATAGGCAGTATCTGACAGTATTATATTTGTGTTCATATTAAAATTACATGTCTATCAGTCACCAGAAGGGTCAGAAATTGTACATGGTGGACATTGACAGATTGCATCTTAACTAATCTAGAAAAGTCTGAGTTTCTGAATTAGGAAAAGTCTTAGAAGAAGAATGAGGCATTTGGGTTATTTTTCTTCAATGACTAGAAATCTAAGTCTGTAAGCTGGCCTATTGTAATCAGCTAGAAAGTAGTTCTGTCATGTGATCAAATGGTTATAATGGTTATATGAAGCTAACCTCCCCCCCCCCCCCTCCCCCCTCAATGAAAGTTGTAGCAGACCAATGTATGAAAATACTGTATCAAATGGATTACTAGTATATGTTGATGGTGAAGGATTGAAACTATTGTTTGATATTATAGTACTTTTGGACAGACAAACCCTCACTGTGGTACTTCTGATGTTACTATTAGGCTAGTAGTCAGTCCTTGTTTCATTACTGTCATGCCAGAATTGACAAAAAAAAAAGAAAACCACCAATCACAAGGAAAAGAGAGCTATATTATGAATTACTAGAAGAGCCCGGATCAGTGGTATTATAGATGATAGTGCCTTAGAATTTATCACCAATAACTACTTTATATTGCATCGCTGCAAGGTTTGATGTGTTCTTTTGAAATGTAATCTTGGAGATGAAAGCCCCCGGCCTACTCTGTAATTGACTCCTAATGAACGCTGTGTACATGTAATCAGGTTTGTTGTTCTGGGGTGATCTACCTATTATTCCTCCAATACCTCGGCCCTAATTGATGGAAATGAAAATTTTAATGAAAAACAATGAGATAAACATGTTTTGCCTGGGCTTTGAGGGATAAGTAAATATTATGAAGTAGGTTAGATGTGACAGTTACAGTGGGCAATCTGTTGCCGCGTCCTTCAATGACAGACCGCGACATAAATAACCGGTGATCGATGACTCACCTATAGAAATATAGGGATCAATTCCGAGGAAGAATTGCTGACCAACGATCAGTGTCTATAAATACATCACTAAATCTGATATATAGTACTACAAACTTCTCTCTTTTGATCATTTAATTACCAGAGCAAGTAAATTCCTTATACACACACAGAGCTTAAGATATTGGCAGAGATTTCATTTTGCAGTATATTGCGATATTTTATAACTGTATTAAATGCAATATGTGCTGCAATATTTTCAATGAAAATTAAAATGCATGGCATTTTCTTATATACCCCATGCAACTAGTTGCGTGAGGTATAATGTTTTTGACCCGTCCGTCAGAGTGTTAGTCAGTCAGTCCTTTTTTTTTGTCAGCGCGACTCCTCATAAACCGCTGCACAGAATTTCGTCAAATTTTGCAGGTATTTAGGACACAATGTGTAGATGTGCATATTACCAGGAAATTCCGATTCCATTATTTTTTCCGTTTACGCACTTTTTAACTTAGGCATTTAGCCATACCTTGAATATAGAGATGAACAGTTTGTCAGCACAACTCCTCATAAACCGCTGCACAGAATTTTGTCAAACTTTGGGGATATTTAGGACACAGTGTGTAGATGTGCATATTACCAGGAAATTCCGATTCCTTTATTTTTCTGGGAATTTTGGCACTTTTCAAATTAGATTTTTGGCCATACCTTGAATATACAGATGAACATTTTGTCAGCGCGACCCCTCATAAACCGCTGCACAGAATTTAACTTTGCAGATATTCAGGACACAATGTATAGATGTGCATTTTACCAGGAAATTCCGATTCCTTTATTTTTCTGGGAATTTCGGCACTTTACAACTTAGATTTTTGGGGATATAGAGAATATAGTGGTGAACAGTTTGTCAGCGCAACTCCTCAGAAACTGCTGCACAGAATTTCATCAAACTCTGGAGATAATTAGGACACAATTTGTAAATGTGCATATTACCGGGAAATTCCGATTCTTTCATTTTTCCGTGATTTTCAGCACTTTGAGTTTTGGGGGAGCGTGGGGTATGTGAGCTTGCTCACTTTTTCTTTCATTAACTTCAATTTACATGCTGAACATACTGTACATAACCACATAACCATTATATTAATTAAGGAAAAATATCAGTTATGCACTGAAATTCACCCATACAATAGCATTGGTCTTAGTTTGGATATATAATCACAAACCTTTCTTACAAATTTTCTTCATAATATTTAAAATGATAGAATTCCTGAATGCAAGATTTTTTCCAGAATATCATTTCAAAAACATATTGGAGTTATAATACAATTTTTTTTGTCATTTGTATTGCAACATACTGAAATATCAATATTTTTAACCGGCCTCCACCCCCTCACCAAATAAGAAAAAAAAATATGTTGATTTGATAATCCAAGCCAATCTGGAAAAAGAATGAATGTTAATATCTACATACAGTACTGTATATTAAGTGGGATCAGATTTTTAATTTTAATACATAGGGCATATATTATTGTCCTTCATGTTATCTATTTTTTTCTTTTAAATTAATGTTTAAAAATCAGACTTTTCAGTGATGATAACAATGTTACATTCTTGAAACAATTTTATTTGTATCTGTATTTATAGCTTGTTTTATATTTAAGCATTATTCATGTTGATATAAATTGTATTTTCAGATGCGTCACATGACTTGACTGCTATGTTGTGGTCCTCTGGTCCCTCCGTCCCCCTCGTTCCTTGGGAGCCGTCATTCTGTGTGCTGAGGGAAGACCTGAAAACACTGACCTTCCACAAACAAGAGGAGGTAACTAGTATCACTAAATGGGAATCAATGTAGAAATGTCATCAGAGTTATCTCTCTTTATATTCCGTGTCTCCTTTTCCCCAGGGTGCTGATGACCTACCCAGCTTAGTGACCCTCAGAAAGAGGAGACTGGATGACGGTAAGGAGGAGTTTGACAAGAGATGGGGGTTTGAAACCCTGAAGAGCATCCAGGAGAACGCGAGACAGCACCAAGACGAGCATCTGCTGTGTCCCCCACAGCCCTGTAGTAAGCATCTACATTAATTTAATGTGGAAATAATTAAGTCAAATCTAGTTGTTAATTAAAATTGGTGTTTGAAACTGGTGCATTTGGTGAAATCATTAAACAGGTGCCTTTCATTATTTAATGCAGAACAGCTGCATTCAACTGAAAACTCTACGCAGTTCTCTACATTTTGTTTTAACTTAGTGCGTAACTGTCAGAGTGCGGAGGAGCTATTTTACACAAAGTTGTCACCAAAGCCCAGTCGACGTCAGAGACTCTCGCAGTTTTTCGGAGGTTTGGAATTGTCACCTCCTCCATTATTATTACGTCTATTTCTGTGTTCACTATGTTGTCGATGCTTTCTTGTTCTGATCTTTTTTTCCTTGGTATACACAATTTTTCTACTACAGTTGTAGTCCATGTTCATGAAGTGCTGTAAAAGAATGAATGTCACATCTTGAAGCCAGATGCTTTTTATGTAAAACCTTTGCAGTAATCACAGGCCTTCTTTTATGCATGACTTTGTTAAACATGTTTTTCTCATTTTCTGCATTTTCCTTATTTTATTTTTATAGTTCCTTTATATTTTATGGAATTTTTGAATACAAATTTTTTAATTAAGATTTTCTTTACAAAAATTTACAGGCCCATGCCTTCTGTATCTTTGCAAATCTTTATTTTCAAGAAATAGATAAGTATGGTACTTATGCACCCAAACATGATAGAGTAAAACCCCAGTCACATTTCCAAAAACGACCAACGGCCGACGGGTTTTGAAGCAAAAATGGGATTCTTCGGGTGACAGTCGGCAGTTCATCGGCCGCTGTCTTGCCCGATTTTGACCTCTTTTATTGTCGGCCGACCAATTTTGTGTCCATCGGTCCAAGTTATAATTTATTCTGCGTCGGTGGCCGATTCTTCAATTGAAGTTATCCGTCGACCAACCTTCGATCATCGTCCGACCATCGGGAGTCAGTTTATAAAGACGGTCGTCCGTCGTTCGATAATAAAGGTGTTCATTATTTCGGCCGACGTTTAAAATCAAACTGTAGCTCAGAGCTCGATGATCGGGCGACAATTGGCCGACTTGTGAATATTTAACCTATTAAGGATACATAACACAAGCAAAATTTTGATGCATGGATTGATATATATATTTTTTGAACGGAAATAACATAAATAATTATTCCATGAGATATAAAGAAATCTTAAATATTCTTTGCTGCTTAGATATGCGCATTTGTCGTTTTTATGCAATTCCATACAAAATTTTGCACACATTTTCAACATTGAGTCACAATTTTATAAGATTTTGCCACTTTGCCTTGCAAACATTACTCGTGTCACCTATCTGAATATAGATTTATGAAAAAATATTACTGATTTCTAAAGAAAAAAGGTTGTTTGTGTTACTTATTCAAGTCATCGGTGTCCCTAGGAAATAATGTGACTGCTCCGTGTCGTCCGACACTGTGTTGGCCGATCATGTTCTTTCAGCCGACAAGACCAGTAAAATTTAGTCGCCCGACCATCGTCTTAAATGTGACCTAGGCATTAGTCCTGACATGCACCCAAACAAAATAGAGTTAATCAGACTTGTTGTTGATAAAATTTTAATCGGAGAGGAGAAGAATGGAAGAGATCAGACCAGGACCCCCTCCCTGAATTTCTGGTCAGGTCGTTCTACCAGCTAAGATAACTGGCCATGACATTTGAACCTGGGGTGACTGTCACACATGACCCCCTAATACAAATTGTAACAATAATAGCATCAAAGCATGTAATGCAGCTCTATCTGCTGAGGTAATCCACCGTTAACTTTAATTTACACCTAGAACCTTAATTCTAATGTGTGGGGTCCCTAATGAATATACAAGTAGAAGTTGTTTGTGTTAAACACTTCAGGAATAAAATTAATTGATTTGGATTTCTTGGGCATTAAAAAACTGAGTTGCCTAAAAAATTCCAGGGAGAAGGACAATAACACATTGTATTTTCTGCAATTCACTTAGCAAAAATATTTTATGAGGAAACACTCGAAATATTTATATTAATGGGCATAACAAATATTTTTCATTTGAAAATTGTGGTTTAATTTTCTTTCTAATGCAAATTGAAGGTGTTTTAAATTATAAGGACTAGTATTGTTCATTTTCTTATTTATTTGTTCCTGTTTGGCTAATGTACTACAAAAGAAAACAATAAAAAAGCCAAGAAAAATATTTTGCCTAGGCTTATAGTGTGAACTGCAGTGTAATAAGTTTATGTGGTGTGATTGATGGTCTCAGGACAGTGTGAGGTGTAAATCTGGTAACCACAGAACACTGACCCTCTCAGTATACCAACGTGGAGTCCAGCGGGGGGTATAAACCTGTCACTCAGATCACCGGACAGTGATGGGCCCATACTAAGGTGTCCAGACTCTGGCCTGGCTAAATTCTAAATAGATGGACAGAGGAAAAAAAAAATAAATGCAAAAGATATCTTAACTCACAATTTCTGATCACATATATTAAACCAGATATGTTATGACCTTGAGCCAATGTCATTTTGACAAATTTATTAATCAAGGTCACAGAGAGAGAAAAAGTACAAATTTTGTGTCAAGTTCATAACTCTCTCATAGATAAGTATATGAAATTGAAACTTCAAACAAAGATTATTTGGAAATTGAAGATATGTTATTACCTTGACCCAACACCATGTGATAAGTTCAAGGTCAAGGTTTTAAAGTTCATGGAGAAATATTGTATGTCCATATTTCACTCAAACTTTATACTTATGACCAGAAGATCAGGATGAGTCATTTGAAAAAAACAAGCCCCTTAAGCTTTAGGCAAGTTTAAGGCCTCGTAATTAAGAAAATTGTATGAAGGCACTTAAAAATTGCAAAGAAAAGAATTTTGTGATCTCACTCACAGCATCTCTTGTTAATCAAGTGTCCTTGTTTAGGTTTTAGTCTGAGAGAGAAATTACAGAAAGGTGCTATATGAAGCTTCTTTCCCAGCTGGCTTGAATCTGCACTCATCTGTATGCCTGGTTTTTGATTATTTTTGTTGCTTCTGGCAATACTCTCACTGAAAAAAATAAAACACATCCTTCCTTTAGTAATTAGACATTTGGTGCAAATTAGGTGTGAAATTTATTTTTATTCCAATACTCCTTGAAGCAATTTATGAACACTGACTGTAAAAGAATTTTTTGTGATAGGTGTGTAGATTTGGGTCATTAGCAGGAAATTGATTTCAAATTAGGACCGGTAAGGTGATGCACTAGACACCATGACAGTGGAGGGACTTTGTAAAATTAGTGTGTGACAGGGAAACAAAATAGGTCAACTGAATGACAGTTTTCACAGCAGACATATAATTGACAATAGGACTTTCTAGTGTCTCTTTATAAACAGAGAAGTGGGGCGGGGCTCAGGTATCTTTACATAGAGCTGAGGGAAGAAGGAAGTTAGTGGTTTGTAGGGAAATATTAGTGAGCAGCGAGAAAAACCAACGAACTTCTGATGTGACATATATTGGTGATATTTCTCTGTAACCTTGATGTCAGGTTTAACGGCTGAACAGAATTATTCTAAGTCAGCTGATGTGTGTCCGATTTATTCAAAGAAGTTTATACCTGGATAGATGTGCTGAACTGTGTATTCCGAGTGGAATATTAGGATCAGATATTGATATATATTTTGTGACAGGAAAACAATACGTATCAAACTGAAGCTGATGGTGCATTCTAGGATGCCTTGTTTGGAGGAAATGCTCTCGTTTTGTTCGTGATGGAATTATAAAAGATAAGACAACAAGGAGTGGATATTTTTGTTTTTAAAGCGAACGGAGAATGAATCATTTAAGTCGTGTAATTTGATTCTTTTGTAAATTGAGTTTATCTAAGTTCAAATCCAAGAGAACAAATTGTTTAAATGCACCATTTCTCTTCAGACTGTAGAATAATAAATCGGGGGTAAATTATTCTGACAGAAATAAAAGGTCGAACTCTTCATTCTGTCTCAGGGTAAAATAACAGTCTATTATACAAGGACTTTCTCTGGTCGTTTTGTTTCTTCACAATCGATTGTAACACCTGAAAAGTTTTATTTGTGTGATACTGAAACCATTTCAACAAAAGAACCTCTCTGAGATTGTTTAAAGATTGAGAAAGATCAATTTTCAGACCAGTATTATCGGTGTTTCCATCTAAACGTTTCCTTGCACTGGACATAGTTTTTGTTTATTTACGATTCTGCTGAGTTCATTTTTACTAGGTTTTTATTGTGAGATTATGAGGATTACTTAACAGCAGGGATATAAGTTTCATTACGAGTGATCGTGGCTTTTTAGTGCCTTTGCGTAGATTTAGTGCCTTTGCGTGTGCATGAGATTGATAAACTTCAAAAATAAGGAAAAAATATACATATACATGCAGAGGCAATAGGCTGTTTACAATCATACTAGAGAGATTAAAACAGAACATTCAGAATTTTTGAAGTATGCTGCTAGTTGTGCATGACAACACATGCTTGTGCTGTCAACAATTAAAATTTGTGCATTTTGACATTTTCTCTTGTTTTAAGTGGGCTGTTCCAAATGCCAATATATTACTGAATGTCAGAATTTATGGTAACTAATGGCATTTCTACATGTACAGATGTTGCCAACAGAATAAGTGTATCTCTCTCAAACAGCCATTGAAATGTGATGTTTTTCCAAGTTTTCGTTGCATCCTTTTTACCTCGGTCCTACAGAGGTTTGTTTGTATGGAGCCGGTTCTTTTAGGTTGGTTCCTTGTTTTACTGAGGAATCGTTGAATTGTTCTGCCATTATTTGCTCAGGACTGGGAAGCTATTGTTGCAACAGGAAACTTAGCACACCTGTGAGAAGGGAAACACAAAGAGTAAATACTGACTCCATGTTTCTGTAGAACTGTGGACGCAATGCCGGACAAGGAACCAGAATGACTCGCAAAGTACCTGTGTCATTTACTATCTTTTAAGACATGTTATGTGGATTGATTTCAAAGGATTTTTGCTACAAATATTAGGACCAGTAAAAATGTTTTTTACCCGTACTAAGAAGTATAGATTGACACAGTCTCATGAAGTGGGTATGTATGCTAGAGATTTAAATTTCTCAATCTCTTTATCACATAAAGAATCTGTAACTTGTCTTTTTGATGGTGATGACTTAATTGCTGGCAATCACAAAAGAATAATAATGTTATGAAAAGAACCTTCTATATTTTATTCAAGACACTTTCAAACCTGAATCAATTTACACGTCTGGGAGTTGGTTATGCAATATGTGGTCAATAGTTTTTGATAAAGGATATGCTGAAGTTTGTAAAAGGAACCTTTACATTGCAAAAATTTCAATACATTTTCATCAAAGTTGCACTTTAAAGTTTTATTATTGAGTGCATTGTAAACCGCATGTGTTGCAGAATTCTGGTCACAAAATATTGACCAACTATTTTGACTGTTTTTTTTGTTTTGTTTTTTTTTGAATAGATTAAGAATACACTGCCATTTTCCAATCTATGAGTCATTTGTTTATCCCCCGTTTGCCTTCTAATTGAAACATTTGATGTGTGGATCCTCATTGACTTCATAAGTTCTTAGCTTCTTCAGCAAGTAATAAGTATCTAACTCTCTTAACAGTTGTCATTTAGCATGTGTTTTTTGGAAGATTTATTGAAAAAAATGCTAAATGAATCAAGGCTTCAAATAAGAATGAAAGGGTATAATCTTTATGGATGAGGAAAATTGAATAGTTTCATTGTCGTTTAGTAATTTAGAACAGACCCCCAATTTCCTGGTAGATAAGGAAGTTAATTATATTTGAATGCCTTTTTGTTTGTGTATGGCTTTCAGATTACATAACAGGCCGGATTTTTATATTTTCTCCCTCCATAAACACTACGTCTTACTTCTGACATCGAGAAATTGCATTAGAGATGTGAAAATGGATGAGAACGTTAAAACAATTAACATGTCTCTATCAGCCAACTTCACATTAGCACAATTACAGATCAGGAAAAATTTATCACAAGTATTCAACATTCACAGCAAAAACATTAATCAGAGTATTTTTTAAGCTTTGTCCTCTTTATCTGTTAATTTCATTTAATTTTTTTGGCTTTCAATATTAAGTGTCCATTAACTGTTGCATATAAGGGAATATTTTATTCATCACTTTTAAGACAGACAAATGTACTTCAACCATTAATTTTAAAGTTAGAATACAATAAAAAATAGAGTTGTAAATTCTTCAGATCTTTAAAATGTATTATTTCATCTTTATATATACCCAAGTTATTTTTGTTCCAATGAAAGCATTTTCCTTACTTTACAATGCATATATAATCTTGAACTTTGTTTGCCATCAGTATATAATCTCTTCATAAATCCAAAACACTACTTGTGATTTGATTAGATAGAAGGTATTTTGCTCCAGTGAAAAATGACAATTGAAATAAAAGATTTTTTTTTAATTAGGCAGAATTGTCTGAAAATAGTACAGGAATTGTTTGAAATCAAGTGGTTTGAATCTAATTGGTACTTTGATTATTTCAGTGTCCTGTCCCCTTGATAAATTCAGTCGCTATGCCATTCATGACAACACCTTCAACGAGAGCATGCCCGGTAAGTAAATCTTATCTTTAATGTACACTGTTAATGAGAGCATGCCAGGTAGATGTGCTTTATTCAAGTTGTAACTATAAAAAAAAAACAATTTACAAAGATGACAGTTAAAGCTTTATTCGGGAAGGTAGAAATTCTCCCTGCTCTCTAGAAAAAAAAAACAAAACTTATTCAATCCCAATGCATGTATTGCCATTCTATCCTTCCTGAAGACCTTTGGTTGTATATTGCTGATATTAATACGAAGTGGGCTAACAACAAATGTTAATGAGCTCCAGCCCCCTGACCCAAGTTAGGGGTATTGGTTGTCCAAGTTATATACCCAGCTTTTCATCAAATTTTGTTACCTTTTAATTTTAATTTTGAGTTTTGACCTTTACAACTAGAGAATTTTCTCAAAATTGCACTCCCACATCTTTAATTTGATAGTGGATATTGGACCTGTGGCTTTAATCAAATGCAGATTGAGTATGGGTTTCTATCATTATGCCCCAGTTAGAATTATGGATTTGGAATTTTGAAATGCATTTGTTGCAGAATTAAGGCCACCCTTTTTTGAATCATAAAGACTTTTATATGTTTTCACTTTATAACAAGACAAGAATTTAAAGCAGTACCTAAGTTTTGTCTGTCATCAATTGTACAAGGTACAAGATTCAGATATGGCTTCTCCCAGCACTTAAGCCTATACCAAAACAGAAGTTATCAAATAAAATGTTAAGTCTTCTCATTTCCTGTTCTCAAAAGCTTAAAGGAGTGTGAGGGGTGGGGGATGCTCATGCAGACTCCCACATACCTGACTGGGACCTCAAAGAACCCAGAGATCCCTTGTCATTATATACTGTAAATCACTATTTATTCCCGAGAGAGACGATATGCTCGCGAAAATTTCATTCTCGCGTTTAATAGTATTCCTTAAGATTATATAGAGCAATGACCATAATTCGTGAAAATTTTGTCTCGCTAATAAAAAGTCAATGACTATCTCACGAAAATAAGGTGTCACGAAAATTAAGTGATCTACAGTATAGTGCCCCTCTTACACAAGATTTTGGATCCTCACATGTATATGATGTAAAATACACCTGATAAGTGGTTATTTTTAGTTTTTGAGGTATATATGAGATGAGGTTTGCTTGTTTACATGGTATCACAATCAGCAAACTGCAGTATAAGATATCCTGTTTGTAGAGTGAAGCCACGTTACTTCAGACCTCATCTAAACTACACTGTTACTATCAGTTTTAAGAGCAGTAACCACAGCACTTCTTAATTAATCACCAAACTGTGCAGTACAATCATGATATTGGTGCTGAGTGTTTGAAGTAATAGGAAAACTCTTTTTAAGAGGGTACTTGTTAAAGTAAAATCTCAGATTGTTAGACCTGCCGACTGAAATAAACACGACAATATCAACATGACAGGCAGGAAGTGGTGTAGTTACATCTGCTGGTACGATTATTGACGGAAACTGCTTCTTGGTCAGTTTCTCCGGTACTCTAGTACTCTATTACTCTAGTCATTCTATGAACTACTATCTGAGAGGCCAGCATGCCTATGAAGAGACGCTGCAGGTCTTATGACCTTTTGACCAATGCCAGTGATGAGGGTAAGACTTTTCTTACAAATTAATCAGAACTTGTTCCGTTAAACATATCACAGCAACCAATGTGATTTGAAGGCTTTTTGCCTAATTCTCCCTTATAAAGACAATTGACAGTAAGATTTTGTGACTCATTATTAGTGTATAATAAATGTGTTCAGATAAAAGTAAACAGACAAGACAAGAGGATTTGTTGTGTTCATGGGATATTGTAAACCGACTTTTATTCATGTGCGAGAAATATTCGCAAGTTTCACGATCTACTTTAACCCATAAATATTAATCTTTGCAAACCAATCATTTTGCTAAAGTATATAGAGAATGTATACTCAGTTGCAGATTGATCATTGCGGATTGATTTTAAACTGTCGAATCCCGAATAAAATATGATGCGAATAATAGTTGGTTTACAGTACATATCGTGAATAACAGGAAAGGAGAAAAATGTGATAGACCAAAGTGGGATTCAAATCTAGGCCCCTGAATCTCCAGTCAGGTGTAAGACCGACTGAGCTATCTGTCCACCTTCAATCAAACCAGTCTGACCACCACATTCCTCCCTTCCTAAAGGTCTTTGCCCTTGGCACCACTACCAGACACCACTCGAAGTTCTTTTTCCCCTGGCAGGACTTTCACCTGAAAGTTCAGGGGTAGTCAGTGGTATCAAATGTAAAAGGAGGAGAGAAAAGTATGACAGAATAGATAGTGATTCAAACCAGGCTCCTGAATTTCCAGTCACTAGGTGCTCTTCCAACTGAGCTATCTATCCATCAATCAAATCTGAACACCTCACTTGCATCTTGACAATTTTTTGATGAAATTTTGTTCAGCATGCAAGATGCTTCTTATGAACAAAGCATCATATTAAGTATATTTTCATAAAGAAAAATATTGTTAAAAGAGACACTCATGATTAATATTGGTTAATGACATTGTTCTGATTTCATCTAAAAATCCTTAAAAAGTTGTGCATCGAGATCTGGGTATCTCAAATAGCTGTTAGAATTAAAATCCCCCCGTACAAAAAAATATGTATTTCCAAAATAATGCTTTGGACCTTTTTTATTCCTTTTTGTAGGTGAGATAGTAATGTAATTCTTGCATATTGACTTGTCCTGGAATGTTGAATGTTTGCTCCCAGGTGTGAGGGGGGAGTGTTTGATTAACCCAATAAAACGCTGTGATATACCGTAATTATGGGGTCAATAAGAAGTAAATATTTTCCCTCTTGTGAAGTCTGGGTGGGTGAAATAATATTTTAGTGCTAGACAACACCAAATTTCTTCAATTAGGGTGGTCAAATATTTCAAATAATGTTGACAAAGCTAAAATTTTAAATTGAAAAGCAAAGTGCTTAACATACCCTCAACGGGGTAAGTTAGTGCTCTGGATCGATACAAAAAAAAACAGGATACAGTACTCTAACATAAAATTTTTATATCTAGACTTAATTCTTATCTACCTATAATGGGACCAAGAACAAATATCAGTAAATGTGGTGGGTCTATTGTTTTATGAAAGATATTGTGGCAAGATATGATTAAATATTTTTCAAATATACAAAAATCATTCAGGTATAAATCCTCTGGTTTTCATTCATAATAGATCAACGGAAAGAATTAAATTTTAGTCACTGTTCTGAATTAGCATCCATGCTAATTGATTTGCATGTGGGCAAATTTGATGCAACTAAATTCTTGTCCACTGAGTAAGAGGAAACAAGATGCAGGTTTTGACAAATTAGTTCCCCAGATGAAGTGTTGCAGATGCAGAGATTTAAAGGTTCTAGCTGCTGAGGGCCCCATTATAAATGATTCTGATGCAACACCAGATGTAAGCAGAGATTCTCCATCAGTGGAGGTGTGATTTACTCCTACATCCGCTAAGGCTGCTGTTGACAAATTATCCCTAAAACCAGGAAGATTCCTGCAATTATGTGTTACATGGAATCTTAATCTCTAATGCTGCAATATTTTGCAACAAAGTCATGTATCATAGGTTGTGGACAGACAAAAAAGTATCATTTGTCAGAGATAAAGATGTTGTACATGAATTACCATCATGCTGGGTTCTGGTTTAGCTTATGACATGTTGACTTGTATTCTATCTTGTTTGTATTAAAAAATAATAATGTTGAAATTTTTGCAGAAAATGCCCAAGGTATTATTTAAATATTGTAAGTGTTTTGAACTGTATATAATTCACACTATCTAAAGTATACAGAAGATAAACATGTGTTGGAACTATTTGCTAGATAATCCAGAAGTTTAATAAGTTAGCTCTATACAAGGCCCTCACTCATTGTCTCATTCTTTGGTCACCATGATCTCACGGGGCCATGTTTCCATCTGAAAATTAATATTCCATATCTTCAAACTCTCTGTAATGCTTTTTGAATCATTGAGACCATTTAAAAGTTGACATTCCTGCTGTGAAGTGGGTACTTAGTTCTGATAAGGATCAGGGGAAATAATAAGGCAAGTTAATTGTATTCTAACAATCTAACCCCCCTGTATTGTCTATAATGTATAATATACTAGGGGGTGACTACAGCTAGTGAATTATAGAAAATGAAAGTTTTATTTGTAATTATGAGATATCAGTGCCTTGGAACTTTGAAAAAAGTTTGAAATGAAATTAAAGATAAAAATTCTACAAAGGGTTTTTACTATCTAGGAGTTAATATCACTCTAGTGGAGTTCAATGATATCAGTGTGTCACAGACAGTTTGTATAGGTCTAGAAAGATCAAAGAATATGTCAACGAGAAAGAAATGTTTTGAAGAAAAGAGCACTTTAGATTTTAATTTTTATCTTTACTTAACAAATATGAGAAACAAAAGGTTTAAATGACAAAAGCCTGAGTCATTATTGGTCAAAAGAGTTCGGTGTGGTCATCTTGTTAATAAGACATTTCCCACCATGTTGTAGAAATGCCAAACCCAACAGGTAGATAAACGCTTTGTTATCCACATATACCCAGTGATGTTTAGATCTATTAAGGTAAGTAATGTACAAACTGTTTACTGGAGAAACTCATAAGGTATCAGAATGTGGTCATTATTGCTGGAATTTCTATAAGAATTTGACTGTTGGGGATATTTGATTCATTGATCCCCGATTAGGATCTGTTGGGACTTTTAGGGATATTTAAGTGGGATAAGCAGGATTGAGAGACCAGTCTTTAATCTTTTTAAGTGTGTATGACGGTATTCTATTTTCCTGTTGGTCTGAATTCGACTCAATTTAATAACGGAATTCCCAAAGGAGACAGAAGATAGGAAGAAAATTTATAGTTTTCACTTTTGGTCTAAAATAAGGAGAAAATATGTATTTTTCATATATTGCAAGTAGCATGACTGTCAATGAGGCCCTGGGATATCGGTTTAACGGTCGCTGATAAGCCCCTATCAACAGTATATGTAATCTTGACTTCTATTTATGTATTACAAAGAATTATGTCTCCCGGCTCTGCCTACCTTGTAATTTAAGATTGACAAACTCGTGTACCTGGGGTAGAAATGGAACATGCAGGAACCGTAACGGTTCTAATCGTGTACCAATAACAAACACCCACGACTGGTTATTTCCGCAGCTAAAATATATGCCAGGTGATCGGAGTCCATCGGAGGGACAGATATGAGATAATCATTGTCTTTATGGAATGATACCTGATGTGTCATGTGTATATTAATTTTGGATTTTTAATAACAACACATTGAAAAGGTAATGAAACTTTTATATCAGATGAAGTATGTACTATGTTATATGCATTGGGTATTTCTGTGTGCTTTATAGAATGTTAAGAACCCTTAAATCTTCAATTAACTTAGATCATTAACATTTAAACTAGCAATTGGGACAACGTTTAGATGTATGACATAGAAATTTTGACAAAGTTGCATTCAGACATAGAACACTATATCCCATCTTTGATTAACAAGTCCAAAAAAGGGACTTTATAACTTAGCTAGAAATGCTTTAGAGGTTTTATATTAAATCCAAACTAAGTGCAATTGTATCCTCTGAAGTCTTCCAAATCTTGGGGTGGTTTAAGTGCAGTATGATCCGATGGAATGTTTTAAATCCGGGTATCTGAACAAAGACTTCCAGTGATGGCGAGACATTATACCCGGAGGTAAATAAAAACATTGTAACGTAAATCTGTAAGCTGCATTATCTCCTGCACTTCCCAAACTAAATCACCCGACCAAGATTTCTGAGGATAAAATATTTGTAAACAGTAGTTTAATATCTGGAAGGTTTGGTAAGATTTAACAACGATACTTATTATCTAGGCTATCAGGGTACATGTACTATGATTTTGCCAGTATTTGGGACGTAACAGGTATCTACTCTGTACACCAGTATTTGGGACGTGTATAGAATACCACACCTCCTGTACTCTTGAGTATTTGTGACATATTTACAATGTACTCCTTATGTTTTAAGTGTTCTGACAAGATCAAATATGAAACTAGTGCTAATTGTAACGGGGACCGTTACAGATGTTCCCCAAACGCTCCCCAACTCCCTTTTGGTGCCATATTCCCTGTAAGCTTCCTTAAATAGGACAAAATCTATGCATTTGAGTCTTAAATAAATATTAAAGTATTTAATCCAAAAGTATTAAAAATACGTTCATTCAAGTGTATTTTTTATTCAACTCATTTGACGTGCACGCACGTGCATATATGAGCATGGTGACCATATCTTCTTGTAGAAGTCCATTACATCTATCTATGTTCTAAATTCCACCCCGTTTGGGTGAAAACTAAGGGAGTTATAGCTGTTTAAAGTTTCAGCCAATCAGATTGCAGCACATGTACACGCATGTGTATGCATGTGCATGATGTCCATACCTACTTGTGAGGTCCATTATATCTATCTATGTTCCAAATCCCATCCTGTTTGGTTGAAAACCAAGGGAGTTATAGCTGTTTAAAGTTTTAGCCAATCAGATTGCAGCGCACGTGCATGCACGTGTTTTCATGATAATTGCTTTATTTCATGTTGTAGGATATCCTAATGCATGGCTATGTTCAAAATTTCAAAGGATTTCGTCAAAAAACAAGAAAGATATTGAGACTTTAGTTGCAGCCAATCAGAGCGAAGTGCACGTGGATGCGCGTGAGATCTTGCTATTTTCACCATGTCGTCATGTCTATACTACTAATATATCCTCACATTATGAGTTTCAAAGCATTTCATTTAAAAATAGAACAGTTGTGGCTATATCTATTATATTGGTCATTTCACGTGTTGCACGTGCACGCTCTTGCAAGCACGTGCGCGCAAAATGACCTTGATTCCGCAAATCTACATAACATGTCTACTAACCCTAAAAAGGTTTTACCTACATCGGACGAACAGTTTACAAGATCATTCGCGGACAAAAAAGTTCCAGGAAGAAGAAGAAAAATAATAATAATAATAATAATAAGAAACAGAGTAAAAACAATATGTTCCCCAACTTCGTTTGGGGAACATAAATATGGGGTTTAAAAGTTTAATAAGTTTTTTTTGACAGAGGTGTTTGTATTTTGTCACAGGTAGTCGCATCTGTAACCCAGCCAGTTTAATCTAGACCTTGTTGCTTATACATGTATATGACCTTCATCAATTCATGTTTTGTTATGAATAATGAAATATATTTATACCTAAGCTAGTAACCACAAGTTTTGTTAATGTCTGTTGACAAAGAAAATCAAGGAGTAATATGAAACCAGAATTTAAAAAAGATTATATTTCAGAGATTATAATTAAAATTTAAAAGTTTAAGATAACAGATTGTGTGATAATTCAGGCCTGTCATTTCAGTCATTGTACTTCAGCTGACATTCAATATAAAGTAAAGTTAACATGAGTCAAAATTATAAGCACATGGACACAATAACAACGGTGTACTAGTATCTCAATTGAAGATATGTTCCTTCAGAATACTGCACCATTTTAACACTCCTGCACTATCATTTTGTCTAACTTCCCATTACTATTTTACTAGTTACTGTTTGTTCCTTCCAAAACTATTTTTCTGGAATATATGAATTAAGATTGGATATATAACCATGATACTAACAGGATAAACTAGATCTGCTTTCAGATATGAATTTAGTGGGGTCGTAGTTGCACGTTATACATATGTATGTGGTAAATCTATTTGGACTCAATAAGCTTTGTTTATATTAAGGTTGGATGCAGGTGAGCATTTTAACCCATGAGAATTAAACACAGATGTGGTGATAGGGTATTTTTTTTTAGGAAAAAGGAAATAGAATAATTATTTTTACTGAAATGACTTTGAAGGTGTGTAGGATGAAAAGAAAGGGAGGTCCCCAGCTGCTTCAGGGGGTAACGAGAGAAAGAGCGGAAAATAGAAATTAGTGAAATTCAGGCTTATAATTATCTCAGATCAATCTAGTAGCAGAGTGAAAAAAGGGCAGCCGAAATTCCCAGTCATTTGATCATTTGTTTAATTGTCCACAAAGCAGATAGGTAACACCTGCAAGTTCAGGTGTACAAATGGGTGAAAATGTAAAATTAATAAATATTTTAAGTTTACAAACACTCAACGATGTAATTTTATACACATGATTTGAACCACATGCAGTCTATAAACATGAGTCAGAGTTTAGAGTCTGGAAGAAGAATTTTAATTAAAGTTAAATGTCTTGATAACAAAAAATCATGCAATATACATGGTGTTTACTAACTTAAATAAAAAGAAAGGAATCAAATTGGCATTGTCCTCAGACTAGTATTTTGCATTGTAAGAAATTTAATATATTAAACTTTAAATAAGATAATGTGAAATATGTCTGAAAAGGAATGAAATACAATCTTAGACGTATCAGAAATCAGTGAAAGTAATTAACATAGCATCGTCAGTGAAGTGTGGCAGTGACATAATGGTCAATAATTAGCAACGAAATCCGATCCTTGCCTAAGTTTTCCTCTTTTTTGTCTATTCTTGTTTCAACTTCTATCTGTACCCTGTGGCTTTGAGTTTTTAATGAATTTTGTCAATTTTGCTTGTCTGGGCAAAATCTCATACAACCACAAAGTTTATAGCATAAGTTTGACACAAAGGACTTTTATTTATGTATTATAACTGGTGTAAAGAATATGCGTGTCATTATACAATACGTGACTAACCCTAAAGGTAAGTCAAGTGTTGATTATTAATTTTATTTTCAGCTTTCCTGTAGATAGTAGCCAAAGGGAAAGAACTCTGTGTTTATTTTTTTTTCAGCTTTTGGTATAATTCTGTTTGGGCCTTCCCTGGCTTTTGGTGTATCTGTTTAGTCCTCCCTTGCTTTTTGTCTCCCTATTAACTAACTCACTCCTTTACTTTAACCTGTGTCTTTCTTTGTAGACTTGACTCATGATTCTGAATTCTCCGAATCTGTTCCTAAAAGAAGACCTATGTTTCGCAGGTTTTTACGTAGGTATCCTCTGTAACCACTGTGTAACCCAAAACTAATACCCTCACCGCAGTACACAACTAATACATGTACCGTGATTACAGTACACACTAATACTGTATGCTTTCATTCTTCATACTAATTAATATAATTCAAGATTTTTAATGATTTTCAATATAGTATGAGACTAAAACATGTGACCAACATGTAAATTGATTGAATGCAATTAACAGATGCATACTACATGACATATACACACGTACATGTATCTAGCATCATATAATCTTCATATGTAGCTTCATTGCTTACAGAATATACCTAATTTATTTTATAGTGAAGGGGCTGTTTAAGTCAATTTTAGCCAGTTATAATTTACAATTTCTTCATTTAATTTGAAGCTTTGATAGATAAACTAATAATGTAAATTAGCATTGTTGACAAGGAAATGTGACCTTGTATTCCTCTAGTTCGTTAGCGCAAGTGAAAGGAGCGGAAGTTATCTTCTGAGTAAAGAATCTCACTTTGAGATAAAAACTTTGCAAGAAAAATTACTGTGTGGTATACAGGCAGTATATTATCAAAAATAAGACAGTGAAACATTTCAAAGTAATGATTTAATTAATGGCATAGTGGTTATATCTCAGGTTTCTTCATTCAGTGTTAGGGAGTACAGACATATATCAATCAGAGACTGACGGAACTGTACGGTAAATCATTTGGTTGTTAATAAGAGAAAGGAAATGACTGAAGACAGAGGAAGCGTGGGGAAGCCATTAGTTACGGAGTTAAGGAGGCCACAGCCTGGGGGTTGATTGGAGGGAGCAGATGTAAACAGAAGCAGATGGTCATCCATTGTCGACCAGACGGGAAACATCTGGAGGGGGGGACTGGTTCTGTCCGTCCTAACTCCCCCATATATCACATACTGCACCAAGAGATAGAGCATGACCATAAATAAGGTGGTGGATACAAGATTCTGAGGGGTGGATGAAATAGTGTTAGTATTGGGTCACATCTGGAGAGGGACTTACAGGTTCTGTCCGTCCTAACTCCCCCATATATCACCTACTGAACCAAGAGATAGAGGAAACTCGGCGCTTGTCATGACAATGAATGGGTGGTGGATACAAGATTTGAGGGGTGGATGAAATACTGTGAATATTACATCTCAGGGTACCTGTTGCATTTCATCTAAAACTCATAAACTTTAATCTGAGACAGTTATGATGATTTTAAACATGGCAGTAGACAGGTTATTTAACTTGTTTGATAATTTTTGGCCAACTGCTGTTTAAATTAGTGGGTTTGAATACCTATAAAGTTTGTGGTTTCTGTGAAATAGATAAAGCTACAATAAGGGGTCGGAAGGAACCTCCTGTTTGATGTTACAGACTCTCGGTACAGGCTCTAATCAGTGGACATCTGGATGCAACTGTCTGCACATCACTGCATGGGTACTCCCAGGGGGTCCAGATAAGACTTTCCTTTTTATCAATATACTTTCCTCAGGTAACCTCAAGGGAGAAGATTAATCTGTTCCCTGAATCTCAGTGTCCATGTATACATCAACATGTGTATGTGTTTTATCTCCGGGGCCCCTGTCTGGGGGCCTCTTTGGGTTTTCTGCACTTTTCACCTGGATATTGGCTAAGTAATACTTTCTGATTGATCGGGTCTTCCATTCATCATCTGCCACTGCTGGCTACAGGCACTCCCCTCCTCCAGATAGGCTACAATTTGTTTTTAGTGCCACATACACAGGGGAAAGAAGTCTGAACCAGAGAAGTCAGAAAGGTGTCAATTATAGAAAGAAAAAGTGACCCGTAAGAAGCAGAAAGAAAATGAGATTTTAAAAAACTTGTAAATGAAGACTGACATTGCATGAGAAGACATTTAGCACCTTGGACAGAAGTACTGTTAAAGGATTTACTTTGTGTGGGAAGCTGTGGACCTAAAAATCCCAAGAGAAGTTGCTTTTCATGTCAGAAGATAAATCTTAGTCCTTTCCTATCTTACTTATTGAGGATCTTAGAGAATTCATCATATTTGAACTTCCAGAAAAGTCTTAAGAGATTGTAGGAATTCTGTAGAAATTCAATACATGGACAAAAGGTAAAGCACATTGTTACCTGCTGTGTCGGGCAGTTGATGACCCTAATCAAGGGGAGATAATCCTGTTGAAGTGGGGATCTTGTCCCGGAGGAGAGAGGAGATTGTATGGAGATAGGACCCTCCTCAGTAACATGGAATTACATGCCTGGATGAGAGCAACATTCACTCTAGCTATACCAGATCTCTGTACCAGATAGGTACATAGACAAAAAAAAAACTCCCTCAAAAAGTAGTCCACAGACACTGGAATACCTTACATTGGGCCAGCGGTCAGTCTGGGTCATAGGTGTAAAGCACTAAAGGCCCAGTGCAGATTTCTGTTTGGCAAAAACACACGGTGAAAAGGAGTTAAGGGCCTACGTATAATAATCCTTTTGTAAACAATTTAAAAAGATTTCTTTGTTAATCTTTGTTAATAATCCAATTAACCAAGATTATTTCCATTGTAGTTTTGTTCTTTTGTGTATTGACATTTTGTTTACTGAGTGGGTGAAAAAGTATTTATGTTTCAGAAATGTAAATAAGTTAGATCGTATCAAACAGTGAGAAAATAGTGTACAGTCATAGAGTTAATGCAAACCAAAAAAGAAACATCACAATTTTCACAGTTCAGCTGAGGTGAGGTGAATGAATGACAGAATATTGTAAACTCTGAAAGAGAGAAGAACAAAGACAATCAGGAGAAGCGCCCTGAATCATTTGTGTATCATCCTCTAAGGATCAGAGAGTAATGAATTGGTTGTGATATCGCAGGACAAAAATATCCTAGCTCAGACGGGAAGCTCTGTTTTCGTTAACTGACCGCAATCCTCGGTCATGTGGATTATACGGTTTCTCAGGGAACTATGGGGTAGGTGGTTTAATGTATAATATTTTCATACCCTCTATAATCCATGGTTTGTTTAAAAAAAAAAAAAGAAACAAAAAAAACCAAGTGATTGGCTTAATTAGAATAAAGTTTATCTGTATAGTTAGATGACTACCTTTTGAAACTGAAGCTATTGAATCTTTCTAAGTGACATTTCAATGACTAGAATATTAGTTACATCACTGAAATACTGCAATTTTATCCTGACCAAATAATTAATAAAGAACCCGCTTATTTTTACCAGGTGACATCACTCATTTCTCAGGTACGTCTTACACATTTGAATGAAGCATGTTGTGAATCGGTCCCATAGACTTAGAAGGTCACTACACTCTCTAATTGATAGTTAAGCTGTTAGTGCCAGATAATTTGACCAGTCACCCCGGCTTATGTGAAGTCTAAACCATTTAAAAATCAATTTTGACTCATCTTTTGTGATTAGGGTTTTGAATTTCCTGCGCAGTTCAATCTCTCTCATCAGTAACTATGAATGAATGGCAGCAAGTCATCAACAGAAATCAATGACGTTTACCTGTCAGTTGTGCATGTCCCCATGTCCTAAGGGGGAAAAAAACCACTCAATTGGATATATTTCTGATAGAGTTTGTCCAGTGTTGAGGATTTGTTTATATAATGAACAAGACTATTGAATTGTCTGTATGTGTGTTTGACTGTTTTGATGCCTGCATTTTCTTCATTATATTTTATTCTTTGGGAACATCATAAGATGTAAATCTTTTCAAAAAAGATTTGTCCCTGTTATTCATATTTTTCTTCAGATTCACTCATCCTCCCCTTCTCTCTCTCTCCCTTCACCCCCTTCTCTCTACCTTTTCAAAATATTAAAACTTCAAAGCTTTTGAGTTCCATTTTTAGCTTTGGTCAAGTTCACATTACAGTAGCATTTCTCTCAATAGAAAATGATAGAAGCAACAGTTGGTTGTAGATCCATAGGAAATGCTCTTCATCTTCCTTAGTGTTTACATCTCTTTATTAAAGGTTCATTTTCAGACATTGTTTACCGTGTTTTGTCATGTATTCCATCTTTTGATGCTTATTTTAATCTATAACTTCTTGATGTGCATTTTTAAAATATAGGTTTAATTCAATACCATCAAAAAGATCCCAATCTCTGTTTTTTCCATCGATTTTGTAAATACTTGGCTTTCATCTTGCTCAGAACATCAGACCACAAAATAATTACTGGGATTAACAAGGGGGAGCTCTGACTAAATGAGTAAATAAACGGGATCCTGGAGGTCGCGTAACACTTTCCTTCAGCGGGCCAGCAAGGGAGGAAATGGCCGAGGGTGACAGGAGGATGACACCGCTGAAACATGGAGTCGGAGGGTACTTAGTATTGATCAGTGTGTGAATGATACACAACATGATGTTACAAGGAAATGTTTACTTCCACGGAGAAAACCTGTAAACATTTTACCTTAAATACAATCAGCTGTGGAGATGTAACAAAAGTTTTACATTGGGATATTTGAACTGATTCAGGGCAGTGTTCGTATAGTACATGAAATTTTCTGGTGACATTTCTGTTTAAATGATATAGACCCAACAGGAAAACAAACAAAGCCTGACTGTGAGGGAAGAGAGTTTTTTTTTTAAGAAAGATATTTTTATATGAACACTTGGAAAACCCTTGTGTCATTTTGGATTGTGATTTATATAAATTGATTGGCAAAACTTTCTATATTCGTGGTCACTGCACCTCTTAGATAAGAGGTTTGTCATAAAAAGGTAGCGTAATCGGGGTATATTGCTGTGTTGGATGTTTTTATCATGGATTAAAGATGATGAATGGATGCAATGCTCTCTGATCACCGTCCCATTCTTTTGTATGCACTGCTCAAACACTAAATAATCTTGTTATTTTCTTTACACGAGGCCTGGTGAATCACACGTTTCTGTGGATATTTTATTTTTCCATTTGATCAATGATTTGGCATTGTGCTACATTTGCTACTAAGTGGAACAAGTTATGGACTAACTGAGTATCTGCTGGCATCCGATTGTAGTGGTTGCTCGAGCGATTCTCTGAGACAAATATGCAAGACCAATGATCGTTGGTGATGGTCACCGTCAATAACGGCATTGACTGATTGTGGTTGTCTTAATAAAAAGGAAGAGTGTAAAATATTAACGGACAAAATTTTAAAAATGGAATACTTGTGCTGTTGTGCCAACTCTGAAGATGGCAAGAAAAAGCGAAAAATCAGACTTTTTGGGAGAAAGTATAAAAAGTTTAACAGTGAGGAGGTGTGCCCAGATAGTGTTGACGAGAACGAAGCCCGGGACACGATCACTGAGGGTAGCGTCCCCTCCCTAGAGGAGAAGGGGGGAGGGGGAAACTTTAGGGGCTACGCCGGTAAGCTGACCAACTGAATTATACTCGCTAAATATCTCACAAGTGGTGATATTTGTAGGATGGAATTTCTCTAAACTGCTTTAATTTCTTTTTTGTTGGGTTGTCAATCCACCAGAAAATACATTTTTTTTAAAAACCTTAATCATAATTTTTTTTTTCAGAAAAATTCTAAATGTAAATTTATAATTCAGTCATAACAAATTGTATTTTTTAGATGCAACAGATTCTTGGGACTACAAATTACATTTATAATAGTTCTCTCATATCCTATTTATTTTTAAAGAGTGTGATATGTATATAGACATGTACAATATATAATTCTGTAAAATCTACCAGAAATTTTATTTTTAAAAAGTTTCGTGTATTTCTCATGATAATATACGGTGTCAATGGAAATGATGATAAATATGCAAAATATTAATTAAACAAATATTATCATATATAAACACATTTTTAAAAATGATTGTTTGACTTCCTGAAGAACAGGGAGAGGATTCATTTTTTTTAAAAACTTTATTGCAATATTATAAAGTACTGTACTTTTAGTACTTAAAATGTATACCCATTGACCCATTGCAGTTTCACTTTTAAAATTATCATTGGGAAATCTGAAACACACAAAATAAACTTTTTTCTCTATGTATTTGACAAAGGAAGAAATTTAGTTTAAGTGTTTAAAACATCTCCCAACAAGTGGGTGCATTTCTAGCAATGAATAGATTTTAATGACATTCCTCATAGTTATATAACAATTGTTTCATTTTTAGTGCATGACATTACTTGATTTCCATTTGTATTGATTTTTAGATTTCATAATGCCTTTGAAAATAAATGCATCTTTTAATTACATGTATATAAGCTTTACTTACAATCAAATTAGCACCAAAAAAACTGACCAAAAAGGGAAAATGAAAAAACTGATAATATTAGTTTGTTAAATGTGTTTTGATGCATGAAATTTTTTGTTGAATGGAGACCAGGCATTCCCAGCTGATAAGTGGGACTATTTTCTGATATCTGCCCAATATCTGCCGTCCTATTGATCCTAATGTGACTCATACCACAGGAGAAAGCGTCTCATCCCGGTCCTACGACCCCTAGCTTTACCTAGCCCTCGTCAATTACTATGTATGCTAATTGTAATTGGTCTATTAACAAAGGATCATTTTTACATGTCCCAGTAGTGAAGAATGTGAATTTGCATATGTGTAGCAGTATTCTTTTATTTTATAGCTTACTGACTTGATGTCATCATCATCGCATACAAGCAATTTAACTGATGTCATTGTGTTTTAAATTGATTACCACATGCACTTACTGTACATACTTAAAAATCTCCATGCCAGCTAGCACATAAAAAAAATAATAACTTAAAGTTAAGGTATAGTCATTTTTACCATACTTAATGTAGAAGTACTTCTTTCCACATTGCATTGATCTACACTATTATATACGCATGCTATCACAAATTTTCCAAGGAAATTTTTCTTAACATAGTCTTGAGATACATTTTAGGTTTATAGTAAAAATCTAAGAAATCCACCAAATTATTATTTACCTGTGGATTAAGCATGAATTGTGATTCTGCAGAATTATGACCCCGTGAAAAAGTATGTTCTCAGTTAATTTTTAGAGGGACATACAGAAATTAAAAAAACCCAGACACTTGTAAGTAAATTTTCTGTTTGCCATTGAATCAAGGAGCCCATCTGATGTCTTATAACAAAGGCTTATAATGTTGGAGAATTAAGCACTGAACTGTAGGGATATATCCTCAAGTGTGTATACATTGACATAAAACTTCAAGGTTGAAAAATGAAAAGCTATAATATCTAGTGCAACAGCTTTACACTTTCCTCAGGATTTTATTGTTCTGTAAAACTTTAAAGGATACTGATTTGGTGTTAGTGTCATTTTTGTCAACCATTCATAAGTGTATATCTTCAAATATTTTCTCTCAATTCCACTTAAAACTTCCCATCTTGAACTATGAAAACTGATGTCTTTTTTTGTTGTTCAGATTCCTCGTATGAGAAGTTGTCGGATCGGAGGGGAAGTGAACCGCTGGTGTCCTCCTCACTAGATCTCCGCGGGGAAGCTATGGACGCCAACTCCACCCCCTCCAAAATAGCGGTACGTACACTGTCTGAACACTAACTCTAACCCGTCCAAAATAGCGGTGAGTGTCATAACGCCAACTCCACCCCCTCCAATATAGACGTAAGTATCTTAACGCTAACCCCGCCCCCTCCAAAATAGTGGTGAGTGTCTTGACACTAACTCCACCCCTCCAAAATAGCGGTGAGTATCTTAATGCTAACTCCAACCCCCTCCAAAATAGCAGTAAGTGTCTGAGTCCTAACTCCACCCCCTCCAAAATAGCGGTGAGTGTCTTAACACTAACTCCACTCCTTCCAAAATAGCAGTGAGTGTCTAACTCCACCCCCTCCAAAATAGCGGTAAGTATCATAACGCTAACTCTACTCCCTCCAAAATAGCAGTAAGTATCATGACACTAACTCCACCCCCTCCAAATAGCGGTAAGTATTATAACGCTAACTCCACCCACTCCAAAATAGCAGTAAGTGTCTAAATTCTAACTCCACCCCCTGCAAAATAAGCGTTAGGTGTCATAACTCTAACTCCACCCCCTGCAAAATAGCAGTAGATGTCATAACTCTAACTCCACCCCCCTACAAAATAGTGGTGAGTGTCTTTACACGAACTTTACCCTTCAAAATAGCGATGAGTGTCATAACGCTAAATCTACCCACTCCAAAATAGCGGTGAGTGTCATAACGCTAAATCTACCCTTTCCAAAATAGCGGTAAGTGTCATAACGCTAAATCTACCCCCTCCTAAATAGCAGTAAGTACACTGTCTTAATGTCAATCAGAGCAACAGCAGAGACAAGTTAATGAAATTAGACTGGCATGAAGTTCAGATGCAGTTCATGGTACTGTGTTTCAGTGCTTAGAGTACATGATATCTTATCTGGAATTAATGGCAATGCACATCCCTTTTCTTTTAAAATGTACTCATCTAATGCTAAGAATAAATTAATGGTACAGTTATTATATTTTCCTTTTTGTACAAAATAATAAAGGTGCATGTATCTGATCTGGAAAAAAAAACTTTGTCCCGTCCAACATGTCAATAAAGCACATTAGATGTCTAATAATGATCTAAAAATGTTGACAACACTGAATAAATCAGAAAAAATATCGCTTTTCTTCTTACTGTGAAAAAATTGAGGAAGAGTCAGTTGAATGTAGGTAAATTACCATGAAAGTTAATTAGGTATATGCCTTGTGCATTTGCCATATTGTAGACAATATCTAAAAGAAAGTTTGCAGATTTTATAAAAATGGTTTGGATCAGGATTTAGAATAAAACTTGTCAAACTCAAAATAACAAACAAGAAAATGAGTTTTACTACTGGTTGCAAAACTATACATTTAAAAAATTGAACTTAATAACCTGACAAAATATTGACTTTGACATTCATCCCAATCTTACTCCTATGCAAGGAAATCCCTCTCTGTCATTTTCTACTGAAAAAAGAACAAATCCTATGGATTAAAAAAATTATTTACTTAAAATATAAGTGAATCAGCCTGCTGGAAAGTATGCAGTGTATTCATGTTTATGTGTTTGAATTCTTCAGAATTTCTTCATAAAGAAGGGCTTCAGTCGGTCTAGCAACCTAAAGAGGACAAAGAGTGTGACCAAACTGGACAATCGTAAGCGGTCAGCCTCGCACGTACTGGACAGCCAGGAATCGTAAGTCATACATCAGTTACTTCTCCTTACCAAGCAATAGTCAAAGGACTGATCTTACAGTGGGAGTTATCTCCCTTTTGATGTTGTGTGCTATACACAGTCGATGTTGTGAATTAACATGAGCAAACTAATTTCATATTATTAATCATTCTTATGTTAAAAGAAATTCTTTTGAAATGGACGGGCAGAAAGTCCAAACAGCCATCACTAATTTATATTAGATGCAGTAGGGAAAAGATCAATTGTTGATCTGTGTAGGAATTTAAAATGAAGCAGCGTTAACAGTGAGATGAGTGCGTTGTCTGATCCCGTTGTTTTAGTCATACGATGAGTCAGCTATTGTGTCAGGATACGCTTCTCCGGAATTTATTGATGCAAAAAATGATTAAAATTCCACTGTCCACTCGCATGGAAATTGTCAATAAATAAATGGGGTGCTTCCAAAAGGTCTGCCTGCCACCTTCTGCTGGTAGTTAGGGTTTCCGCCCTATTGAACCCTCACTTCTGGCACAATAGCTACGGGCCTTGGTTCAAGGGCCACTTCAAGTCCTTTTGAGAAAGGTCATGAGGGGATGTGCTCAATTAATCTTAGGTAGACAGAAGCCTAAGAAAGGATGCCTGTTTTATAAAGTGTCTTTTTTTCCCAAAATTGTCTGAATTCTTTAAGACCTTGACTCAGATACTAACTAAAATCTTTTGTTCAGTTTGGTGTGAGTGAATCACAGCATCAACTAATTTGCACAGCAAAATTATTCTGAAATACATGTAGTATGAAGATCTTAATTATTCACAAAGCTAATTATAAGATAGCTTTTATATTAGATCTGTTTAGATACTTTTATACTGTGATGGATTATTTTTGTTTGGTGAAAAAACTTTAACCATTAGGCCAGTTAGTACACATGTATATACCTCAGAAATGACAAAATAAAATACCTTATCACTTTATAGAAATTTGCTATATCTTATGACAGTTTCAATAGTGCACTTTATGAGTTTATATCCTTCATGGAGTTAGAAAACAGAACTCGGTCAGTAAAATGGATTGTTTTTGTGGTTTTGGAGGAACACTTTTTTTCACATCCTTCTTATTTAAAAATGTGAACTAAAAAACATAATCAGCCATAACTCTGACTAGGTGACCTTACATCTCGATCAGGGCATGACGTAAACGTTATAAATATTGAATACAAACTGCGGTAGTACATATGTTCTAACTGAAGGAGAGGAACACGCTAGTACAATTATTTCATTAAAGTACATTTTTTTCAAGTAAATTTTTAGAGTTGTGTCATATTATGAGCTAAGATATTTATGTAATATGCACTGTAAGCTATTATATTGTCAATATGAACTGAGAAATAGATAAAGGAGGAAATTCAAGACTTTTTTAGTTTGATAGAAGGGGTTATAATCATTTACTCTGACAGTCCTATTTTATCATATACTTCATATATATACTTCATTATAGATTACAGTTACAGTATATTTATGTTTAATCCAATATTATAGACATTTTACTGAAAGTTAAAAGAAAGTACCAGTTTTTTTTCTGACAAGCTGTTGAGCATCCTATATCGTCCAATCAATTGTGTTACTCTGATGAAGAGAGGGCTCGGGTGAATACATAAACATCAACTTTCACTTTTAACAGTTTAAGGATTACACTGCATTATGACACATTATTCAGGTGCTACAACAGAACGATATTGATTATTGGAAAGGAGTCCTCCATTATAGTTTACATTGCCTTTCCTCCAAATGCTATACATTTAAATGAACCCCATTCAGAGTTGTTTCCAATTGTTGCATGCAGAATAAGTGGATTGGGGATTATGTAAATTAATACACAAAAAATGTATTAATATGTTTATCTTTTGTAAGGCCAGTACAATTAAAGTTAATTTTTAGCACTTATTTCCTATAATCTTCCCAATAAGTTAATCTGTGTGAAACCGCTAGTGGGAATTTCTCTTAGCGTGCTGATAATGAAAAAAATAATATACCTTCAACCCCTCTATAGCCAGTAATAGACTGAACCATTCAATTGATTCCAACTGGTGGACTGAGCCAGTTTTCAGAAATGGAGGGGAGGTGTTTTACAATCTATTTTCATAGCTGTATTGATTGAGTTCAGTGCTTTATTCTTCTGAGTTGCCTCTCTGGGACTGAGTAGTTTTCACCTCCCTAAATAGTACTCACTAGAGACACTGACCATGGGTCAAAAGGACACGCATAAGGTAGGTCACCACTAGCATGTATCTTGTCAGAGAGTGGTTTGTGTATTAGTACAGAATTAGTATGTATCGCTGATCTGTAGCTATAAGGAAATGGACAATATTGAGGGATCAACAGACAATCAGAGATTGGGAGTCATTGGAAGTTCACAAAGATAGAAACATGTTGGATGTATGGTATTGGAATGTCATTGATTACTGTAAAAGAAGCGCCAGAATGCAGGGAAGAAATCAATGTGCCTTATAAACATGCTGCTATAGTTATCAGTGTACAATCTCAAGACTGCTTATAATTATGGCTGTGAGGGGCATAGGCAGAGGTTAGGAGGGAAATGCTAAAAGATTAGACTCATAGCAGCAGATAGAGGGAAAATACGATAAATAGAGGGATGGCCGTGTCTTAAATGGGGAGGGAGGGGGAATCTTCTATATTGGGGAGGGGGCAAGAGATATCTGATGGGAGGGAGGGGGAACTTTATATATTGGGGAGGGGGCAGGAGATTTTTGATGAGAAGAAAGATATTACTTTAATGTTAGACATGACTTGAAAATGCATCAGGAAAATATGATTAATACTGGGAAAAAACTGTATTAACTCCCCCATCTTTTGGAAAATTATGCAATGTGTGCATCAGGGTTAGTGATGTAATGTGAATTTAGATGATTCTGTAATAGGCACAGTGAGTAAACCTGAAATCTTGAGTGAATACACAAACATCCCTAAATCAGTGGTATCTGTTGTGTAGGGGGGATGGGGGGTGTTCTTGCCCAATTTGGAGAGGGAACTCTGACTAATTTATTCAGAGATAATTAAATATTGAGCACACTTGGCTGATGAATTCTGTTCTCTACAACATGCTGCATGGTAAAAGTTTAAGGAAACTCGATTAACATAGCTCAGGGGGGAACAGTATGGAGAAACTTGATTAGAAATGCATCAACTTTAGGGAATCTGCAACAGATGGATAGCTTGATGTGAAATAATTATAGACTCTGCAGAGCCCTCTATCTCCCAGGTTTAGAGATATAGAGCCACACATTATGATTCATAAGCATTTTTAAAAAAATGAACTGAAGGTTGATATCCACAAGGTGATATCCATGATGTAAATGAGGTATGATTTGTTGTAGTGTGTTAGTTTTCAGGATGGGGAGGCCTCTTTCAGTTCAGTACCTGCTGCATTATATCCTTGGCACCTCAAGAATGCACATCTCGGTGTTTGATACCTGTGAACACAGGATTATTGGCAGTTGTGGGGATTCCATTACTAGCTAGGGTTCTCTTATTGACACAAGTTTGTCAAATATTGTGAAACCCTGATTAGTCACAGATCTCCCCATTTGTGCTGACTTCCTGACCAAAGCAATTTCCTCCATCAACATTTGACCTTATTTGCTTTCATATCCGAGTTTCTATAGTCAGATACATGTTTCAATCTATTCATTTAGACAATTATGCTTCTAGTTCATTATTGGTTTGAATTGTAACAATTAAGTTTTTCATTTCTAGTTTCATTTCCCTGTTTGATAAGTGGTTGTGAATTGAAATTAAGAATGATGTCCCAGTTTTCATGTTGGACTTGTGCCCAGGTTCTGTTAAAGAAACATTTACCTGTATGCATGCAGTGGTCCCCTCAGGTGTTGTCAGTAAAAAAGGTAAAAGCTTAAATATAAACAGTAAAAAAGTTAGTGGGCCAAACAACAAAGACCAAACGAAAGAGTAAATGGAATTAACCATTAATTACTTTACAAAGGAAACTGTTTTGGCAAGGAGTCATCGCTTTATGAAGGGCAGCTGGTGACTTTTTGATCTCAGGGCCTAATTTTGAATTTGTGGATAGAATCCATCAGTCCTGGCAGGGTAAATGTGATTGATTACCTCCCCTTACCATGTGTTAGAGGAAGGAGAGGATTGTAAACCTCTGATATGTCAGATTTCATTACTGTATTGCTTACATTCAATGGTAACAAACTTCTGGCTGTAAATTTTCTTTTTTCTTAGCGAGAATAACTGTTTATCTGAGTCAGTAAACCCCAGATTTTAAACATTAGGATCAAAGTTCACCAAGCTCTAAATAACCTTGATAAACTGGGCTTTGATGTACATACATTTACTTTCCATGCATACTTAAAATCTAATCTACATCCTGTGATAATTTCCTCTATCACTAATTCATGTGAATCTCAAATTTCTGTCACAGAATTGGAAGATTATATAGAAGAATCAGTGGGAACTACAAATCTTTATTTCTAGCAAATGATATAGTTTTAAAAAATTATGTCAAAGTGGACCCTCTTAAAAACTCCCATCTGTTGTAAAGTTAAGACAGGAAGATGTACATGTAGTTTGTTATCATTATATGCATGCAATGCTTTAAACTCCCTCTTTGTTTTTTCCTGTTTAAGGAGATGGTGTACAAAGAGATTTGTGTATTTTGTTTTTTTGTACGGTCTGACAGTTTTATTCTTTACTGGTGACAAGAATCTTTGTACGACTGTAGATAAAAATGATATAGATTACAGAGGATTTAGAACACGTCCATAGATATATACACATTTCCTCTGGCTTATGTCTGTTCACGGTTCTATTTTAATAAAGACTACATGGACATATTACTTTGACGGATATATATAAAGATGTGGTAATATATTTCAGCTAAAAGAAATTTGAGGTATGAAGTTTTATATATTTGTTTGCAAGGTCTCAGTGCTACAGTAACATAAAAGTTTATTCCCTGTTGACCAGCTAGACTGTTTCTTGTATCCTCAGAAGAAATTTGTTAAGTTTCAGGTTCTGTCACAGTATATTTAGGTTGGAAGAGATACATGTATATAAAATGAATTTTCCAATGTAAATTAGGTTTTCAAAGAAGAAACTGTCCAATGAAGTGTATGTTTCTGTGTTTTGTAATGATTTTATGCCTGTCAGCTGACTGGATTTAATAATCACCAACACCTTTGGCCATTGACCCTGGTGTGTTAGCTAGTGAACAGTGTGAACTAGACATTGATTTCTAAAACATGCAGTAAATAGGAACTCAATATTGAATAATAGATATCAGATCAATAATTTATCACGACCTCTTTTGAATGAACACCAACCAATTAAATTATATATATATGTATACTTTTAATGTGTTCCTTTCATGTTCTTATAACACCTGTTTGTACAGTGTGTACATCAATATTTCCCCGTCCCTGGTGAATCAGACTGAGCTCTTCTGGTGACAGGTGCTCCCCTGCTATTGACAGGTGCCCTGATTTATTGAGATCTGATTAGTATAATGTCAGCCTGTCCCTGATCTTCTCTAGCATTTCCCTTCATGATGTAAGTTTCATGTTGTGTTACCTTGTGTTGGTCAGAAAAGCCAATTTGTCTTATCCTAAGTATTGCATGTTTTGGGTCAATCAAAGTACTGAAAAGCCCCATTGTTTTGTTGTAGTAAATGTCATGTTCCTCAAGAACTATGTATGTACACAAACTGGTACAGGGAGACAAAAATAACATTTAGGAGCTTTATCCCAATAATCACTACAGGTTCTTTACTCCCTAAACTTACACGAAGGTCACTATATAGTTATCAAAAACTATTCCCCTCTATAGTTAACGAACAAAGCCATGTTTATATGTGAGGAATGTAGGGTCACTTAAAAGTTTCCTGACTGGAGAAAGTGATCTCACCGCGCTCTTACATTGTACGTACATTTACATGCTGAGCTCTAAAGATTTCAGTGGTGGGTCTAACTTAGCTTCAACCATGGAGTAAGTCCTACACAATGCTTTCTGAGTTATTTTGTGGTTTTTGTGCGAAAGCAGTTTTTTTTTTATTAAAACCATAAAAACAAAGTCTCAGTACATTAAACTGCGCACACATTAGTGATGGATTTTTAATTCAGTAGTTCAGAGTATTCCTGTGTTATTTTCTCCAGTGGTGATTGGTATAATTTGTATATCAGCTTAAGTTGATTTGTTGTTGTTTTTTTTTAAATCATCATTTCAGCTTTGTTTGATTACTGTTGTGTTTTTATTTTGATGCACGATGATTTTATATTTACATATAGCAACACCTTCGTCAATTCATTGAAGAGAACCATGAGTCTGGGCCGTTTAAATCGCAAACGAAATCGAGATATTAATGTTGACAGCCAAAGCGATCTTTCTGAGCAGAAAAATCGTGTGTGAGTAGTTTTTTTTTGCTTCCTTTGGTTGCATCCTCCCAAGCTTTCGAGATTTAGTTTGGCTGATTGCATTGTTAATGAGAATTAATTGACCCCATACCATTCACTAACTTATAACAACAATCATCCCTCATTATGTATTTGCATGATGTATCATTACCATTACCCTAGCTCATGATAATGTTAAATCATGTCAACATAAAACATGTATAACAAATTTACATTCCTTAAAATTAATATCACTATTGACCTTTTGTTGACTTTCTGAAAGAATTTTGGATTAATATATACCCTTTTTTCTACCAATTTTGGATTACACTTTTTTTTTGCTGTCCAAGAGAAATTTTTTATGAATCTAAAAAAAAAAGGGGGGGGGGGCAAAGTTCCTTGTTATTGTTCTAGAAATTGCTAGACAAAGTTATAATTAAAAAAGGAGAGAATTTTCGATACAATAATGAAAGAAATTACAGACCTTCCTTCAGTATTGAAAGTTATGTGACAGTTTTCAAAGGTCTGAAAGTAATAATTCCAACTAGTCTTACGCCATTTTCTGAGAATGATCAACTGACTACATGTACTTTTACAGTGTTGTACGAAAACCTCCCTGAGTTTTTGACAGTGAATGGTTTTGGAAATATCGTTTTATTATTGACTCGGTGAGTTTATTTTCTTCATAGCTTGTGTAGATGTTCCATTGTAACCCCAGAAAATCAACATACATGGTATGCTCATCTTAATTTATTTCATTTTAGCCCTCTTAGAGTACCTACTAACAAACTTATACATTTATATATATTCTTGTATGTAAATGCTTTTCTCTTTTAACTAACATGATAAATGCTTTCTGCAACTGAAATCTGCTTGATGCCTTCTTAAAATGTACTCACTTTTCTTTATAAATAGCCTTGTCAAGTCAAAAAATATGTCTGATGACTGTTTCATTACATCATTTGTATTACATATTCTAGTAAATCTCTTACAATTCTGTCACGATTCTAAAAATAATCCCTAAAAATTGAAATTGCTATTGGTAGGACTTGGAGGGGAGTTGTCGTTTTCGGTGTAAACCACTTAGGATTTGTACGTTTGTTAGTACATGTCGATACAGAATGTTCATGTGATAGTTGATTAGCTCATCATTAGTGCTCGATCAATTCCTGTTTGTTTTGGCCTGTATAAATTCCTTCCTTGAACTATTTGATAACATATTATTACATGATGTACAAGATGACAGATCAACCATAGACTGTGGGTTATTATTGTTTCCCAATATTGATACATTTAACTTCAAAAAGTATGCCAAATTCTTCATTTAAAAGGACAAGGTAACTTTTGTATTCTCTCAACATTTACATTTCATTGTTATGTAATAATTAGTCTTTCAGAATTTTGTCATTGAAGGATACTATCTCATATGTCATCTGTAAACAAAAATTTTAATGGAGATGTTTATCGGTTACATCATGTTCTTGTCAAATTCAAGCTGTTTCACTGGTAAACTTTAAGTGTTTTCATTTTCATTTACATGATTAATTCTCTTCATTCCTATAATGCCTGAAATCAAGTACCCTTATTCAGATGAATCTTAGTGTCCTTGCATTTTCCCTTTATAAAGATTGCCATGCTTCTTTAGTGCTAATGGCTCTAAATACATAGACATCTACCAATGTCACTTAAAGTAAAAACATACTCGCGTGACGTCATAGAATTCATTCCGTGTTTCCGTCTATTTTGGGTTCTCTTTTTACAAAGCGACTTATATTTCCGGTATGGTGTCGGGGCATGGCGCCGAAAAACAAGAAGGGGCGGTTTGTTAAAAAGGGACATGGTAAACAAGTAACAGCATTGTCTAAAGGTAGAAACACTCGTTGGAATTCAGATTCCTGTTCAAGTTCGAATTCAGGGCCGATTTTATTCGCAGAACTTGATCACAGTTACGACTCGTGTAGTGTGAACAAAGACCCTGTGTATAATGTTTCAAGACAAGAAGACATTGTGACAACCTTATCTAACGATGAAGAATCTGGATGGCGAACGGGAAGGCGAGTCATTGAGTTAGGAACTTTAGCAGATGGTCTGAAAGCGTGTAAGTTATGTAGCCAGCCATTACATTTGATAAACACTGTAGGTGAGAGGAAATTTGGGCTAGCGCAAATTTTAGAAGTGAAGTGCACGTATTCGGAATGTGGCCTGGTTAATGACGTTCCAACTGGAAGTAAACATACAACAGAGAATGGAAGACAGGCTTGGGATGTGAATACCAAGTTAGCTGCAGGTATGATAATTTGTATTTGAATTTTAAAAAAAATTAAAAATTAATATCATAATTGTAATAAATACCCTTAATACTCCATGTGTGAATTTCAAGTCAAGTACACATAGCATACATGATGCAATAAAAAATAAGCAATGTCTGTCCCAAAAATTATGCCAAAACACTTCAACTGCAGGGATGATAAATGGAGGATTTGGGGAGACACACATTAACAGTATTCTTGCTGCCTTGAACATTCCAAGCATCACCCAAACAGCACTTAAGAGGAGGGAGAGAGAAGTCGGACACCAACTTAACTGTATGGCAGATGAATCATGCAAGAAGCAGTTGAATAAAGAACTAGAAATGTAGGTATTGAAAATGTTTGCATGTTTGCATCATTGGATGTATATGATACTGAATAATAAAACGTATAATAATTATTTGTATTAAAGGAGTGATGGAAAACTGACCGTTTCTTTTGATGGTGCCTGGCAAAAGCGTGGGACTGGTCATGCTTATAACAGCCTAACAGGTACGACTTAGATAGTAACTCATGTACCAAAAATATATTTTTAATTTTGTCCTTTCCTTTGAAATTAAACAGATGTACAATAGTAAGTGTTTTGCAGGACATGCCACATTATTTGGAAAAAAAACAAAGAAATGCATTAAATATGCTGTTAAAGGAAAGAGATGCAGGATATGTGATGCGGCAAAGGACAAAGGAGTTTGTCCACGAAAACATAACTGTTCACGTAATTGGTCCGGTTCTTGGCTTGTGAAATGGTGCAGAGCATTTATGATGATGGAGGAAAGGTACATATATATTTATGCACTGCATATATATATATATTTATATATAAGTTGCTATAGATATAGCTACCACAAGATTCTTAAGATATTGATCTGACATAAAATATGTTCAAAAATTGTTTTAGGTAGATACGCTTGTAATGGATAATGATTCCACTACTATTGCTCGACTTAAAGCCACAGTTGACAATACCATATCCAAGCAGGCTGATAAAAACCACACCAAAAAAGGGTTCACAAATGCTTTGTTTGAGCTGAGCAACAACCACAAGATCCTGAAGAATACAAAAGTTCGCAACCATATAGAGAAATGTTTCATATATTGCGTTAGTCAAAACGAGGGCAAACCAAAAGAAATAGCTGATGGATTGCAGAATATAGTCCCTCACTTATACGGTAAGGAAAAATTACGTGCATTTGTGTATAGCAGTGTACAGTATATTTGTATAATGATTTTAAAATTGAAACTAATTTATTGACTGTCTCAGTATGTCAAAGTGTTTTATTGTTTAGGAGAACATGATGGTTGTGGCTTATGGTGCAAGAATGAAAAAAAGGACTACAAACCAAGAAATTTACCTTTTGGGAAACCATTGAATTGTCCAAATCTTCGACATGCCTTAGAAAATCTATTCCTAAAATATGCTGCAAAGGCAGATGAGCTTGCATCTCTTGGTTCAACACAGGTCAACGAAAACTTTAATCACATGGTGTCGTCAAAAGCTCCAAAACGATTGTAAGTCAAATTTTTTGTTGGAGATTTTTTGAATAGTTTAAAGTATAAAGTGGTGCTGCTAATAAGAAATTTGTACACTAGAAATTATGTATACTCAACATGATCAGGAAATTGCAAATCATAACAGGTTTTATGGAGGCTCAGAAAGTCTAAAGACTAGACTTTCAGCTACCGTTTGTCAGAAAAATGATGGTCATAACTACATTACAGAGGTGATTTAAAGTTGCAGTGTTGAAAAGTGTCATTTGATATTGTTGACAAGTTACAGTTGACTTTTTTGCAAGCCTTTCAATGTTCATCAACCTTTTGTTGAATTTGACAAATGAAGTGTTAATGACAATTATACATGTTAAAAAATCTTGCAGGACAAGATTTTAAGTAAATTTCCTTTTTGTATAACAATCTTAAAAAGGAATGATGACATTTATCTCAGTGTTTTATCTTCTTATCTTAATAAATTTTATTGCATTTCATTTTATTGATTTTTGTTACCTTTCAGTTCCAGTGTTCTTATTGCTTGTCACTTTGATTCTGATTCATAAATATATTTTCTCAAGTAAAAACTCTGTTTTTATGTATCTTTACCAATAAAACTAAATTTTAACATGATGTAAAATTGTCAGAGTATCTATCATTTTTTTGGTGAAACTTATTTTGATTTCATTTTATATTCAGTTGAACAAGAAATGCTCTGTATCCCCTGGACAATTTACGCTGAAGCATGCTCAAAAGATGGAGAAAAGATTGAAAAATCAACGCCTTCGTCAGAGTTTATTTACTTCCAAAAGGCGACGACTGGAACTCAAGTCTTTGAGGGCAATGAAAAACTCCACACAGTCTGTATTAGAAGGTATATACAATGATGCTAACTTGTAATTAGTTCCAGTTTTAATGTAACCTTACACAGTTGTACAAAACTCTTTTGAAAATGAGTAAAACATTAGTTATTCTGTTGCATACAAGTGTCATTGTGTCTGCAGGTGATACATACCAGTCCAAGATTGGCATTGAAGAAGATTTAGATCTTGAGGACATTGATCTCACTCCAGTATCTTTTCCAAAGGATGGTAGTGAAATTATTTTTGACTTGGAAACTACTGGTCTGGGTAAGTTCATTGTATATGCTAATGTACTTGTTACTTATCATTTACTTAGAGTAAGGTACTATTGAAGTAACCATTTCATTTATTAATTGATATTCCAGAACTTAGTATAACGTTTAACGTCTGACTTTACTTTTCTTTCAGCTCGGACATCTGATATTATTCAGATAGCAGCAGCCTCTGGAGACGAGGAATTCAGTACATATATGACCCCAACGACAGAAATTAGTATTGGAGCTTCTGAGGCCACAGGTTTAACTTATATTGGAGGTGTCCTTAAACACAGAGGCCAGGCCGTGAGTTGTGTTACTCCCCAGGAAGGACTTTCCCAGTTTCTGAATTTCATCAAGAAGTTTTCAAAGCCAATTCTGGTGGGACATAACATTCAGAGTTTTGATTTGCCAGTCTTAATAAACCAACTTTCTAGATATAATTTATATACAGATTTCCAGAAAACAGTGTTTGGATTCATTGACACATTAAAGGTAGCAAAGAGAACATGGAAAAGGCCTGAAGTTGAGAACTACAAGCAAGAAACATTGGTCAGAACTTTTCTGGACTTGAAATATGATGCTCATAATGCTTTGGCAGATGTACAATCCCTGCAAAGATTGTATAAGAAGATGATGGCAAACTGTCTTCTTTCAAGTGATCTATTTACTCTTAATTACTATGCATGTAAGCAATCTCTTGACCCTTTAGTGAAAGACAAAGTAATTTCAAGCCAAACAATGAAGAAACTTCTTCAGTGCTCACTCAGTTTGTCCAAACTTAGAAGTATTCATAAACGTGATACCTTTAATGGAATTAGAA